TACAAAGAGCTTAGACGACAGTACACAAGAAATGAGACTCATTTGAGCCAGCAACATATTAACAGAGTGAAAAGAAGATCAATGTTTGATGTGATGACATTTTCCTATGCTCCAAAAAATAAAAAATTAAATAAGAATTGATTGAGGTTATTTGTCTCAAGTATCCATGGTTCACAATTGTTGTAACTTTGTATCAAGTCATCGAATCAGAGGACTATGAGATTCGTTGGTTGCCATGCCACAGACCACATCAAGTGATTCTTAGGAAATGATTGATAAAAAAAGTTGAGCATGATGTTCAGTTTGGTGACGATAACACGGCGAGTGATTCAAAATTGACTCGTAGATGTCTCAGATGACTCGACAAAATCGTGTGAGAATCGTGATTCACACAAGATGTGGAACGATGTCAGAATAGAATATTTCGGCTTATACTCTTAACCATGGAAACATCAAAGATGAAGCAGCAGACGAAGTTTAATCAGCCCAGTAGAAATTGGAGGAAGATGTTATACCAGAGATATTTCATAATTTGAAAGGGGCAGTTTAAGCTCAACAAGAAACTGATGACCTACAATTGGTACTCTAGATAATTAACTATTCATATTGTATGCATAGTGCGTCACAGGCGCTAGCCAAATCTAGCCATGTACAAACAGTATTTGGATCAGTGTTCAACAACTAAGCTCTTACCACTAATTCACCTCCACCCTCTTATGTGCATGCCAATCTATATCACAGTTATATTTTTTTGTATCCGACATAACCTGCAGCACAAAAAAATTAATTTTTTTTTAGTTCAATGGTTAAGGCTGTGCGGACCAACTTATATGTACCTTGACTAATCCTCTTTTCGGTTCGGTCAAAGCTAGACCATCCACGTCGAGACTAAAATATTCACGAGAGATAAATCTCTCATGGTCCTGCCAGTGGGTTCCTAAGATTCGAACTCAAAACGTAGATTGTTTTTGTTACAATTTAAACTATCCTTGAAGTTCAAAAAATTTAGGATAAATTACACTCACACCCCTTGACATTTAATTTTATTACATGGATACCCTCTCACATTTCAAAAATTACACTAAGACCCCAAATTCAGTCAAATAATGGATGTGGTTAACAAAAGTGAAAAAATGACAATAATATCCTCCATTTCAAGTTGAAAAAAGAAAAAGATAAATTACACTCATTCTCTGACATTTGATTTTTTATTAGACGAACATTGAAAAAAAACTCAAAGCAAATTAAATTACAAATCATACCCTAATTAAATAAATTTAACACCTAAATCAAATTAAACTTAATACTAAAGCAAATTTAGCACCTAATCCAAATTAAAATTAATAATTTAACAAATTTAACACCTAATTCAAATTAAACCTTATGATTTTGTCATTAAATTCAATCTTATCTTTTCGATATTAAGTTAATTTTTTGGTTTTGGTCAATATATTTAATTATTTTGAATTAACAATAATGTTTATCAAATTTCAATGATTATACCAAATTTATCTTACTAAAATTATGCCTTAACACCACCACCACATCCTACAAATGTCTGTCACCCACAATCACCAACCACTGTTACCTCACCGTAACTCCCACCACACTAGTTTAACAATCTCAAATGTTACCTCACCGCAACCACCGCCACTCCCACCATCACAAGCCCCCATTGCCAAACCCAAAAATCGAACTCATCTCCTCCAAGGCACAGCTAGCACACTGCATACCTTAGCTATCCACCACTTCCAACCATCGACATCGCACTAGAAGGGATCAATGACTTCGTACCCAACCTTGGCCCTTGGGGGATCAATGGTTTGAAACTTGTAAGTTCTTCTCAATCTACAACCATGGAAACTTTGCGTCTTCCTCTTGCCTCCACTACTTGCAGAAGTTGAAGAAGAATAAGAGTCAACTCTTTCAGGCCAAATCCCCAGTATCAAACTCTCTTATCTTTCTAACATCTGAAACCCTTCTCTACCCACAGTTGTACTTATCTGTGGTACGTCATCTACCACTCCAAGTCCACCGATTCTCATACCACCACCACAATGATCATCACCACCATGACCATGACCATCACAACCACCACCACCATCACATTCATGAGGATAATGGTAAGCTAACTGACACATAAGAAACATTAATTTTTTTTCAATTTATTTATTTTGACTTAGTCAAATAGAGGGGTGAGTTGGATTAAGGGTGCAACTCGAGTGGGTTCGGCAGGTTAAGAGTTCAACTCTAGGTATATTATCTTCAACTCTAACTCTAACTCTAACTCTACCTCAACCTGAATTACTCAACCCAAGTATTACCCGGGTTTAATTCGGGCAGGATTGGATTGCATTTAAGTTACTTAATTTGTGCTATTTTCGGGTTAAAAATTGAGTTGAGCTCAAGTTACTTAATTTGGGTTGATAAAAGAAGGAAAAGTGACGAGTGAGAAAGGGAGATTGAGAGTTTGACACAAGACTCAGACTAGGGAGAGAGGGAGGCTGAGAGTCTGAAACTAGATGAGAGACGAGTGACAAGTGAGAGAGGGATCTGAAAGTAGTGAAGGCGCAGGGATGAAGATTTGAATTGAAGTGAAAGTCTGGACTTTGAAGAGTGAAGATAAATAATAATCCTAATTAAATATATTTATATATTTATGTATATTCGAGTTCAATCCGATTTTAATATTCGGGTTGAACCAGACAACCCGAGGCCTCAATCCGATGCTTGCCCGAATTCAATTCGAGTTGAGGTTTTTTCGCCCAAGCTCAACCCAAGTATTAAAAATTCTAATTCACGCCCAATTTTTTGGGATAGGCTCGAGTTGAATTTGGGTTAACCCACCTAAGTTGCACTCCTAAGTTGGATAGATTGGATATGGACATTGATAAATTTCAAGGATATATGAGGTTTAAAAAGTCTTTTTAATAAAATTGCTAACATCTGTTAGACAACAGGGGTACGATTGTTACACCTGTTCAAATGTCAAGGGGTTTCAGTGTACTTTTTAAAATATGAGAGGATGTATGTGTAATAAAATCAAATGTCATGAGGTGTGAATGTAATCTACCCAAAAATTTATTTGTAGCTAGATTTTGGACAGGAAAATACCTTCTTGTGATTTCTAAGATATTCATACTCCCATTAATTTGGATTTTTTATACTTTTGACCATATGAAAGTCAACATTAGCTTCGAATAAACTTAGAACTCTATTTATACACGCAATCTGACCAAAAAAAAAATATATATATATATATATATTATACACGCAAAGAAATTTAAAACACAAAATAAGCCAAAAAGTAAAGCAATAACCCAGAGAGGCGTAGCGTATTTATTCTCATTCCAGCTTTTAAATATGATCAAAATCAGTGGACGGCACACAATAAGGAGTAAGGACTGAGTGTGAACAGGGAAGCTGCCGCAAACAACCTACCAAAAATAGATTAATGCAAAATGCTGACAAACAACTTAACAAAATTTGTCCATAATCTGTGTTAAACAAACGCCGTTCGATGATAATGACTTCACATTGTCCCACTAAACAACATATTCAAACACCAAACCAGCTGATAATCTGTACTAGAAAATTTGACAATAAGACAAGAAAAAGCCATAACAAATATTTAATAATCAAACCAACCAAACTGATTATATTGGTGATATAGAGTTAAAATTAAGCATATATTTTAAGCAATTAAAGACCCATAAAGTCAATTTAAACAAGGGTTTGGTGTCCTTTTCCAACCTTAGCTGTTTTTACCCTTTAGTGGCCATTGAATACTTCAAAATCAATCCCAACCCAACAGCTTGAGAGAGAGAGAGAGAGATTTTCCTCAAAGTGTGGTCCCTCAGAAATGAGATAGATCCAAAAGTGGAACCCACTAGAAGATGAGTTTCCCTCCATCCAAACAAAGCCAATTGCTGTCTTTCGCTGCTATCCAGACTCCAAACTACCCACAACGAACAAGCAATCAAGAGCTGACAAGAATTTAATCAAATCAACGTCGACAGATGGCGAGAACCATGTTTCTGACTCTGTCCAATCACTCTTTTGCGAAAATGTTTTTGGTGGATGGGGTTTGGCTTCGGCTTTATGGGTGACCACCGGACTCCACGGTCCACCACGTAACACGCAGCCCAGAAGACGATTAGTACAAGGATTCTTCATCACTTACTTTTTATGCTCAAAGTGGACACACCAGCTGCCATTGAAAAACCAGATCTTTAACGTTTCATAATTCTGAAAGATGGGAATCAAGTCCAATTTAAGTCATATTTACTTTAAATTCGCCTCATATCAAATTTGTATTGAATCGTATAAAAGCCATATTTAAAGGGTTAGTGTAGCCAAATTTGCATACACACATCTAATTTGACATTCACTTGGGCTGCAGCATTGCTGTGTACAGAGAATTGAGACAGAATTGGACTCACTGAGATAATAACAATTTGCCAATACATTCCTCAATATCTAAAGATTTGAAAAAAAAAAAAAGGACATAAGGGCAGAAGGGAAAAGGTTGCGAAAGTGGCCTTGTTATCCACAAATACGGTCGGATGGCTCAAGGACCTATTGACCCAATTTTCCACAAACGTTGGCCGGTTCCGGAGGGCTTACCAGGGACGCTAGTGCAATCACCAGGAAGATCGGGATTTTCCAAAAGACTTTATAAAACTTTCGTCTCAATTCATATTTAACTGCGAGTAATTTGTGTGCTCTCGTATTTTTCGTTTCTCCGACATCTTACTCAATTTTCCCTTCATCTTTTTGCAGTGTTTGATCGTTAGATTTCTACCGAAGCCCGAGACAGAAAAATATTCTGAGCAACCTCGAGTTTCTTAAAAGGTTATAGCTGCACTATAATTTTTGTTTTACAATATGCAAGTTCAGATGCTGAGAAAATCAATATTAGCAGAAGTAGAAAGAAAAGTCCATTCCATCAGAAAGGAGAGATCCAAGTGAGAAATAACCCAACAAAATCTTTATATATTTTAGAGAAACAGTATAACACACATGATCACAATAGCATTCCTAGCATTGCTGATCCATGTTCTGAAATTAGCTTTCTTGATGGTAGTCAATGCACTGGAACCACCTGACCAACCACCAAAAACCAACCCCATTGTCATATGACCTCCTCCTCCATGGCCGGAGTTTTGGCGGGGTAAGCCTGAAAAATTAAGTTCTTCAGCGAAATCCATAATTAAGTTATGATTCAACCGAACCGACCTTTCTACTTGGGGTAATCTTTTCCACCAAGAGGACAGGAAATCATCTTCAGACGGAGGAAAAACCAGTCCCCTAAGGTGCACGACTGTCATACCGCCACCACAATTGACAAAAACAGTAAGAAGGAACAATATTACACAACCATATAACTACACACCATCACTACAAAAGGAGGGAATAAACAAAAGAAAAGAAAAGAACCCCAGTGAATTGTCAAGCTTCTGTTATGTATGGCTGCCTGTAGTTGAAGGTAAGTAATCTATTAACAGTTAGAATTCACGAAGTTCTTAATCTCGTCCATGAGGCAATAGAAATGTTCATTGTTCGGCAAGAAGTAGAACCCAATCGTCGCTTGCTTTAGGTACAAGAGTTTTACCTCTTTCCCCGATTTTCCGAGTCCATCAACATAAGCTAATTGCCAATCCTGAGCAAGATCCAAGCCAGCCACAACAACAAGACTTTTTGGAAACTTTAGTCCTTCAAGACTTATGCCTCTGGGACCAAATATATTACACGCCGGATGGTCTCTATCGTCCCCTTCGGGTAGATATGCTCTCCAGTACCAATCTCTGTCTTGAACTGTCACAAAATATTTACCATCCAATTTTTTCTCCGATTCCGTTCTGATTTCTCCGCCAAACATTGGATGAAGTAGTATATTGCCTAATACCTCAACTCCCGATTCAGCAGCCCTCACAGCAACATGATGAGCAATATTACCACCAGAACTATCTCCAGCCAAGTACGCATAAACTTTAGAATCTTTCCCACTCTGAAGCCATGATCTTGAGTGAACCCATTTAAGAGCTGCCCATCCATCATCATATGCACAAGGGTATCGGTGTTCGGGCGATCGCCGGTAATTCACAGACACCACAACAGCCTTGCAATTGCTAACAAGGCGACGGCAAAATGTATCGTAGATGGCACTATTGGCAGAGGAATGTGTAAAGCTTCCGCCATGGAAGAAAATTATGACGGGGACAATTTCAGTGGTGCTCAAGGGTTTTTCAAGCTCTACAATGCCCCATTGAGCCTCGTTTTCAGGGGCTGGCCTGTAAACACGGTTTAGAAGGCTTGTGGCTCGATCAACTACATCAAAAGAGTAAACCTTATCGACCGGAATCGTGTTGGCGGGGACTTTACGGTCGAGAAATTCGGCCAAATCTCGGTTGAATGTACCATCAGGTCGGCGAAGCATGTTGTAAGCTAGCTTGAAATTGGATATAAGGATCCATGTATTCAGTGGAACCACCCTCTACACAAAAGACATAGATACATGGGATAAGATAATTTGGAAAAATTGAAGCATACCCAGAACATAAATCAAAAAATAGTTGACAAAGAACCCCAAAATAACAGAATAGATAAGCAAACGATCATACAAGTGAGGCTCCAAAATTAGGACGAAAGAGACAATAAACAGGGTAATTAGCTTAAATAGAGATTTAAAGATAACTCCAACCCTCCAAATTCAAGAAACCTTCAGTCTTTTGCCCCAAATCAGACTTTATCTTCAAGTTTCTTGGACAGCAAACTCATACCAGTAACGGAAATATAAAAGGAGGAGAATTCAGGTAAACCCATAAACCAAATCATTACAGAATGTCCGAATTAATCTGGATATGGTCCATACATGTGCAAGAATTTTAGAAATATTAAGGAGAAGATGGCCAGAAAAGGATGAGAATAACACCTTGGATTCATTTACCCTAACTTCATTACTACCAGCCATGATCTATCTTCAAAGGTTTGGCCTTTCAAAACTTAAAAGGTCACACTGATCTTCAAAAAAATCAGTCTTTGATCACTCATAACGCTTCAGAGACGAGAAAGATCGAAGTCTGTGCTCTGTGTGGGCTTGTCTTTTGATTCTTCGTTGAAGGGTTGAACAAGAAGAGACACTCCGAAATATAAAACAGAAGACACCTAGACACAGAAGAAGATCTAAACACAACACAAAAGCGAGAGAGACAGAACCAAAGAACGAAATTAAGAGAAAGAGAGAGAAGGGAGGAGGAGGTATGATAAGACGAGGCTAGGGAGAGAGAGAGTGGAGAGAGAGAGAGAGAGAGAGAGAGAGAGAGAGGCGTGGAGTTAAACGCAAAGAACGACGGTGGTGGACGGAGACGAGAGAGACGACAAAGCAGGCGGCTGAATTAAACTGTTTAGTAGGTCCCACCATATATAATAAAACTCTAATTTTTATGTTTATTTTTTAACTCTAATTCTGCCATTGCTCTCCAATTGTTTCGATTAAATAATAAAAAGCTATTTACAGCTAAAGCCAAACCAACTTTAGTTAAGTCCATGAATTCACACCCACACCCACATCCACATTATTTTGTCTTTATATACAACTCTGTTTTTCACCCAACAGTAAATATCCAATATCACGCTTATACAAATTTTCTGTTTTTTACCCCCATAATGTTAGGCTCATAGGTTTTCATTGAAAAAATATCCTTATTACATAATAATAAAACATCACTAATAAATATATTGATATAATATTATAATTATATAAAGTTAAAATTTTAACTTATAAAAATATAACAGTCAAGATTTATTTAATTTTCATTTAAGTTGATTCAATTATATATAATTCATTCCAATTTTTTTTTTCACTTACAAATACTATGCACTCTGCATAACACCTAATGTCAAATAATTCAATTAACACACTCTTTAATACAGACAACCCCAATAATTCACATCTATTTATTTCTTATCTTCTCTCTATTCATTTTAAAATTATTAAAAATAAATATTACCTAATCAATACTTGATTTTTAGTATGAATAATATGGTGAACACCACCTAATGTGACACAATTAAATTTATTGAATATTTAATAAACTCTATAAAACCTATTAATTTAATGGTCAAAGGTCAATGTTAAGATGGTGGTGCAGAAAGATGATGTAAAAAAATTACGTGTATAACATTGTTGTTTTAATATTATGAAGTATTTTTATACACGAAAGTATTCCTAGTTTTCTATATGTATGCATAGATAATTATTGAATTATGGAGATTGTATACAAAAAAATATTTTACATGCATTATTATCTTGAACAGTTCTTCCTCGCAAATGTTAAGCAAAAGAAAACAAATGGTAACCACTTTCAAAGAAACAATGCAGCATGTTATTGTCCTCTTTTGGCTCTTTAGGTTTTCTCATTTTACATTGTCTAAGTTCTTTCTTTTTCCAATAAAGGAACCATCGTAAATAATATATAATCTATATATTTGAAAAATGATTGTTAATAGATGTCATGAACATCTATTAATACGGACGAATTATAAATCCTGACGTTCTAAATTTAAATTTTGACAATCTATTGAAGTTAGGTCATAAAGAATTTTATTATTCTTGAATACTTTAATCTCAGCGTAGATGGTATGTTTATGACCGAATTGAAAAGGGGATTAATCAAGGTACACGTCAACTGACCTAAGCATCCTGACCGTTGAAAAAAAAAAAAAAAGAGATCATGAACATATGTGTTTATAAGTGTATTTTTGCAACCTGTGGGATTAATGAGCATATTTTGTTAAATTTCAAATAAGTGCCTGCTCTATTTAATCTATTGTTTTGTCCCTTATTATTGGAAAACAAAAAATATATATACGTATCTAAAGACTTTAACGTAAACTCAAAAATAACTAACTCATCACTAACTCATCAATTTTCATAACTAACTCGTTATATTCATAACTAACTCATTATTATCATTATATTCATAACTAACTCATCAATTTTGTTTTCTTAATCATTTTTTTATTAGTTAAACCAAATTGGCTTAATAATTCGATTATATTTTTCACAAGTTTTAGTCTAGAATTAAAAGATTAAGATATAAGTCATCAAATCTAAATGATGTAGATCATTATTATGTTGTGTTTGAGTATTATCTACACTACCACTAATTCAACCTCTTAGTGTTTGACATTAATGAGTATGTTAATTGAATTGTCCAACATCAAGAACAATGAAAAAAAATGATCTTTTTAGTAAAAAAAAATTGAGGATCAAATATCAAAGTGAATAAAGAGAAAATAAAAGAAATGTAGGAGAGAGAAAAGAGAGGGGTAAGTGTAGATTAGTGGAACTGTTTAATTTTTTTTTTTAGTTCAAAGATCAGGGGTGTCCGTTCTAATTTATGCGCATCTCAACTAATTTATTCTCCTATCATAATCTGACCTCAAGGAATAAATCTCTTATTAGTAGAGTTATTTAGCATCGAAAAGTATGTTAGTTGACTTGTATTACATTGAAATTGGTATAAAGAAAAATGAATTTTTGAGTGAGAAAAATATTTGGGATTAATATTGTGTTATTGAATTAAAATATTGGAATTAAATTTGTGTTATTGAATTAAAATAAATAAATATTATATTTTTATAAATTGAGAATTTAATTTATATTAAATAAATTATTATATCTCTAAATATATGTATAACAAATAATAACGAAAAAGGACGATAGTTTTCCAGCGTGCGGTGGACGCTAAGGCACGTAGCGACAAAAGGTTCCGTCCGACTCTTTTTTGCCAAACCCAAGACCCATAGACAAAAGTACCCTCACAACTCCACAAAACTCCAAAGAAGCCACGGGGACGACACGTGTTTTGTCATTTAGCGGAAAACGCGTGACGGCATGTTTTTTGTCGGAGTCTGGGAGTGCCGTTTCTTTGCTCTCTCTGCTTTGTGTGGGCTTTGGATTTTGTCGTTCTCGACGGTTGTATTTATGATCCTATCCGCCAGTCCACATACACGTGTCAGTCAGGCTGAACACCCCCTCCTATTGGCTCCACACCCACCTGTCCCGTAATTGCTTCGCCTCTTGGTTGATACGATGATCACTCTTTTGCGGGCCCAGATGCTCCGAGCTTTTGAAACGTGTTTTCGAAATTGTACTGATGCATTATACTTTCTTGCCACGTATAGTGAGTGGGACCCTAAGCCGCAACAAAATACTGGGATGATCACCCCTCATGATATTTTCATATTAACACATGAACCCTTCAATACCTACGAAGTTCCAAGGAGAAGACTTTCTGCAAATGTTTAATAAGAGTTTGATATGTCATTCATTCCCCAGCCAAACTAAGTAAAAAAAATAACAATATAAAACCCGCGTTGTTGGTTAAGGTTATGAATTAAAATTTTGTCATCCCTTTTTCTTATAATAATTATGTCTAACCAAAAAAAAAAAATCAATATAACCAAATTAATATAATAGACTAACAATCCCTCCTCATCTTTTTTTGTTCTTTTTTCCGTTTGTCACACTCGAGCATACAAACCCACAATAAAATCATCACGACTCTTACTATCATTATTATCACTCATCATCAAATCACAACATAAAATATTAAATGCAAGGGAAAAGGATTGCAAAAGAGATCATAAGGTTTAATCGCCAAAATTGGGGCCCAAAGTCTTTTGATTGAAAATAAAATTTAATTTTGATAAAGAAAAATAATAAAATTGGGATGATCTACTTTAAGAGCATATTTGGTATATGAGTTTTAGATGAGATTTAAAGGATGAATTTTATGAAAATAGTCCAATACAAATTTTAAACTTGTATTTGGTTCAAGTTTTGAGGCTTAGAATTGATGAGGAAAATGAATCCCGACCTGTAATCAATTTGTAGTGAATAATTGATTAAAACTCACAAATGAAAGTTTGATGAAACCCATGAGAGGGTGAGTGGGTTTCAAAAGGAAGAGTTGGATTTATTTATGAAAATACTATTTTACCCCAAAAAAATATTCTTTTATTGACCTAATAATAGACATTTTAGTAAAGTGAACAATATCATGTATTTGTGTCACATACCAAATTTGAGATTAATTTTTTTTAATATCACATGCAAATCCTTAGGACTAAATTTGAGAAAGTTTTATAAATTTAATCTAAACCTCCCAAAAAATAAACATCTAAACAAGTTCCAATGGTTAGGACTCAAACCCTGTTGCCGTAGATACTTCAATCATAAAAATCCCTTTTAACCCTCCGGTGCCAAAACTAGGTTTCTCTCGTATTTTTCCAAAAATGAAAATATGGTGAAAAGTGAAGAAAGCAAAAAAGCGGAGAAAAAGTGGAGGAAGCTTTATTCAACACATGCCTAACCGTACTTGCAGCTAATCGGGACCATTTTTGTCAAGTCCAAAAAAAAATGTCAAGAGAATATAATTATCATCACATTCTCAAGACGTGCAATCTCTTTTAATTGGCCACGCAACTCTTATTCTATACCCTACCATTCTATGTTCCCACCTCATCTCGCTACTTTCTCATTGGGGGATTGGTTTGTGGTGTTTAATTTGAAGTTTCGAATGTGTTCCACCGCAGAGTGATTATAGTTATGATAGTGATGATACCCAAAAATAATATCAAGAATAAGGAGGAGGATATTTACCTAATTTATGAAAAGAACAATGATCAAAGTATGTTTTTTGACTTCCAGTTGCACATCCAGCCTCAAGAGGAGGAAGTGTCAAGGTACAACATCAAATACAAACAAGTCGATTGTCCATCTTATATCACAAGTAGAATTTTCATTCTTAATTCAGGTTAAGTATTTGGATCAAACTCTTTTATTCACGAGTTGCAAAAGGTATAAGAGGTCATTCCAAACTGAATAACCTCCTAGCATGATCTTTTGCAAGATATGGAAGACAATAATATATCTATGCTTGAACACAAATTCCAGTATCACCT